ATTTTTGGCAGCGATATTGTGTAATGACACGGGGTGGGGGGAAGAGCTCAGGAGCTTAGGTTGGGTAAGATCGGCTCCGTCTCTCAGCCGGGACACTGGCGCAGCAATTCCCTATTCACTCCCAGGGATGCGCAGTCGGACAGACGCATTTTTTTCAATTATTTATCCCCGTCGCAAATCGCGTTTCTTTCTCTTTTGACAAAGGGTTATTATGCCTGAATGTATTTACTCATAGTCCACTGGCAGCAGGGGCGGTGCAGATAACTGTAGGCTACTCGCTACACGGGGAGGATTATTATTATTTTTGGCCGTGCGTGCTGCTCTTCCTCCTTTCTTTGTATTTGTCGGGGCCTACTCCTGTCAGGCCTGTCTACGCTCTCTGCGGAACTGTCTGTCTGTCTGGTTAGCAGACTAGCTGTCTGTCTCGCTGTCTCTTATAATTAATGGCCCTCGCCGCCAGACGGTCCTCTGGGGAACAGTGACCGCGGTTACCTCCACATTGGCTCTCAGTGTGCATCTCACATAGGAGTGCAGGCCCGGGCACACACCGCTCATAAGCGGAATCAGTCTGACTGACAGGGATTTAAGAATTGCACAGGTGTGCATGACTGCCCCCCCCCCACACAGTTGTCATCAAACAATCATAATTCATATTTTTCATATTTTAATACAAAATTGTTAAATTGAGTCCCAATAAGTAAAGACATAGTTTTAGATATTGGATTATTGGTAGTACACGTGGTATCCCTATAGATGCAATGGGTTCTCATTACTGTCTGAAATGAGCTATTTTGGGACTGTGACTCATAATGTATTAAGCTCATGTAACAGCCAAAATCACCCCAATACAACCATTTAGACAAAGGCAGGTACCTCTACAGTGTCAATGGGTCATGTGGATAAAATATACTATAAATACTGAATAAAGCCAATAATAGGTCTGAATGGGGTTTACAGTCCCATGAACAGCTATAGCATTCCTCTTCTTATATCTGTGTGTTATGACTTTCTTTAATGGGTCAATGTGAAAAAATATATATTTCTAAGTTTCTAAGTGAGATAACCTTATATTTAGGTATCAAATCTAGAATTAAGAATAATTAATTGGATTAACTAGGGCTGACTCTACACGGCTGATTGACTTAATTAAAGTTTGATATTATTTGGGGTTATGTTTATCTAGATACAACATATTACAGGACCTCCAGATTGACTTTGACATTTTAAGCTCTGAACTTTCAAGGCAAAAACAACGTTTTGCCAGTTTTAGTCTTTTGACTTGCATGGCAGCGTACTGTCAGCTTTATCGTGGAGAAAATATTGTCGACTATTGTTTGCACAAGGTAATTTTGTTTCAACCTGTCATGTTCCACTGATAACAATAACTGCTTCAGATGGTTTATATCCCATTCAATACAATACAAACCTAGTCTCAGAATAGCCATTTAACCAAACACCTTTTCTCTGACAATGAAATTGATATAAACCAGAACAGCCAACATCACACACACGGCAATGATAACACATGTTCCAGGCACAGACAAAATGATATAGACACTTCATGAAAAAGGACTTTGAAGAAACTCCATCATTACTGGTCAAACATGTCAATAAAGGTGATATTTTCACAATGTTTATTGAGGTTCATCCTCTGGGGATCATGCATGTCTGCACCAAATGTTACTGTTGTCATTCATTCATTCATCCAGCATACTGTATGTGTTGCTCAAAGGCTACTAACTGTAATGGCATATTAAAATATACACATGTCAATTTCACCAAGATAATTCACCCCCCTCCTCTTGTGTGGTTCTGCTGAATTGTATAACAGGCCGCCTTGGAATGTTGTGTTTCCCAGTTTGACGCCCAAATGGTCTAATTTTGATATGTGCCGTTTTAGAGTGTTACGGTATTTTGTGCAGGGTAGATCAGCAACTTGCAGGGTAAAAGGAGCAGCATGCTACTGGATTTGTCAGCTAATGATGTTGACCACCTTGTTGCCTGGTCAATTTTCCAACTTTACACATCTATTTTCATTGTCATTGTATTGCTGGGACGTGTTGTCCTATCAATTGACCATGTCTCCTCACTGTGGCTGACAGATGCTGTGGTCTTTGCATCAGTAAAGCCACTAGGTGTCTCTCAAAGACAAAACATGGTGCAATTAGCTGGAGTACTTTATATTTAAATTTGGCTAAGGTCCAACTGACATTTACCACAAGTGTAGATAATGCAGATATTGTTTTAAAAACTAATGTATTTAATGTACCATTCTTTTAATCTATTAAAGAAAAACAGTAAAAGCTGGTGAAAAGCAAAGACATGTTTATTGTAATTCAAAAGTAAAGTCCCTTCATAACGACAGTTTTCTCAGCTTATGCTCAGAGCAATCTTCAGTTGTTCAGACAATTTGTGTGTGAGTGTGCTCAGTAATCTTGGTACACTGGGGTAGACGCTGAAGGGTACGGCGCCCCTATGAAACGGCATTATTAAAGTGATTTTCCAGCTGACTTCAATTTCCCTACTTTGTGAGATGGGCCCCGGTGTATGAATTGACACCTCTTGTTTGTGAGGTGATTTAGAAATTCAAAGCAGTTACGCATGTCATGTGAGAAAAAGATGATTCAGAGCTAAGCCACAATACAAGGGGTGTAATGAAAAACTCCCCCTTAAATGCAGTTCCCTTTTTTAAACTACAAACTAATTACAAAGCTGTCTCTGTCTGGGAAGTGTCTCCTAGCTCGTCCCGAAAGTCTTTGACGCTCATCAGAGGCATTTCGCAGCAGGGAAATGCTTCCACTATATATGTCCATTATGTCCCTCCTAATGAAAAAAAATAGTTTATCAAAGGGCTAAGATAAAACATTTCACTGGTCAAAAAACCTGAGAAATCCCTGATCTTGGTACCTTGTCACCTTCCTGAAACAAAAGAGGAAGAAAATTGTGAGTGTCCCCACCACCAGGCCCCAAACCTCTCAGCCTGTTCTTTGTGTCATGTCTCATGGCCGTATTCTTGTTGAGTGCACCACGGCGCTGTGAAGAGACCCAGAAGAAATGGGGCAGGGAGGAGGCAGATGATGGGAAACAGCAACAAGGAGAATCTGGTGTGGATCAGGAAGACATTGTCCAAAGAGGAGGACAGTGAAAAGGTGCTTTGTGCGATACCACACAAGTCAGACCACCTCTCTGCAGAAATTAGCGCCATGAAACCCAAACTGGAGGTCAGTCCCAAGCGGACAAAGAGTCGTGCAATGCAGTGGGCCCTGGCGAATCAATAAAAGGTTGCATCAAAAACAACAACGTCTCAGGATAAAGACAACTGAGGTCCCGATCTGAATGAGTTCTGACTGGAGCAGGTTTTTGACAGGATTGGATTTGCTCTATCCTTCTTGAGTAGATACAGGCGAGCAGGCCAGGCAGACTTCAGGTAGTTCTGTAATGAATATCACCCAGTCTACTACCATACCCATGGTATTTGTGTAATAGACAGGATCATTACCACAGAGAAGTGAATCTTTTTCATGTATCCCAGACATCTGTCTGAATATTGACCATGACGCTTTCAGCTTTGCCGATTTTCACAGTGAAGTTGTATTTTTTGCTATTTCCCATTCATCCTGTCAACGTATGACTAGCTTCAGCAAAGAGCCTGATTAAGTTGTGCACATTGGGATACCATACTGTGTGTCACTTCCTGCTAGCACACAAAACAAGCACATAAACTGTGAAGTTATTCACTTTCATTCAGTTGAGAGAGGTTTTAAGCAACCTGTTGATATGCGCCTTTCGAGTCAAGTCTGTATTTTGTTATGTGTTAAACAAGCAGTGAAGATATGACACCTATTCCACGGTGATAAAATGCAAAACAAGGCAAAACAGGTAACATTTTATTTTGCCCAAAGAGTCAAGGGTTAAACCTATACACATACGCTATATAAAATATACACGCAATTAATGTTTTTGGCTCATGTTTTGGAAAACAAGGTGTAAATTTACATATCCTTAAATTTCCAGGAGATGGCTAGCTTAGCTTAGCATAAAGTTAAAGCTGTGGTTTTGTGCAGGACTAATTCTGGCAAGGGGGATTTTTGTTACTTTTGGACAGAGCCTGGCTTGTCTCTCCCTGCTTCCAGTCGTAATGCTAAGTGGCTGCTTCACATTATACATTTAGATATGGGTGGGGTATCGACGTTCCCAGCTAACTCTCGGCAAGACACCAAATGAGCTTAGTTCCCAAAATGTTACACTATTCCTTTGAACTGAAGATCAGTGGTCTTCCTCATGCAGTTACCATTATTCCCAGAGAAAAAGTCAGATCTTCACCAAAGTTATTACGATTCACCCAGAGGGGGACATGAATGTGTGCACAAATCTTCATGACAATCTATCCAGAAGCTGTTGAAACGGATCACTCAAAACTACAAAAGTCGGCCTCATAGGGGCGAAGTAAAGGATGTCAAAAGTAAGTTGGATACATAATCTGTACACTAGTGTGTAAATGCAAATGATACATATACAGTACAGTGAATCAATCTCTACTTGCAGTGGATACCCTGAGCTTCCTTGATTTCCTTCTTGCTTTCTACCTATATCGTTTGATCATTGATGCTGACGTAATCAGCCTGAAATTGTGTTTGTGGTTTTTCAGGGATATGGAAAAAGTACTGGCCTCTCAGGTATGTGAAACGCGCCTCTTTAGATCTTGTAAATTTGATGGCTTGGAAATTTACAATCAGTTAAATCCTCAAGGAAGTGAAAGTGAACCAGTGCTCGCTCATGCAGTTATACTGGTACATGCCCAAAAAACAAAAGCCAGGAAAACATTTACCACAAACTGAAGGAACAAGTTTGTTTCTTTCCACTCACAATGTCATATACTATGTGTTCAATAGGACCACTGCTGTACAGTTCAAAAAGATGAGCTAAAGATGTATGTTTTACATAAATACAAAATGAGCTGATGTCAGAATGGTTTAAAGGGTGCACTGTACTCACTAGAAATAAATAAAACAAGTCTTCTGAGAACCGTTTATTTCATTATTTCCCCCATGACCCCCCACTCTCCCTTCTCCGGGTCATGTGACGAGTCCAGTGCCACCAGGGGGGAGGGGAATCTGTTGGGATTAGCCTCCACAGTCAACACACAGGTCACACACAACACACACACGCTCGCTGATGGCTACACTCTGCAAACACCAGGGCACCAGCAGGTAAGAAACCCCACTTCTGTTCCAGACATTTATTTAGATTCTCATTCAGTTGAGAGATATGTGAGTTGGTGGTTAAACGTGTGAAAGCGGAGCACATGTAGAGTGTATATCCGACCAGCAAGCTGTCACGGATGATCTCCTGATCCCCTGTGCGTGTGTTTGACTCAAGTGAATCTAGTGTTGCAACCTTCTACCCTCACTGTGATAACCAGCAAGGCATATTTTTCTACGTACAGTTCACCTACTTCCTCCCCTTAGGTTGTGAGGTGTTTGTCCAACCGCTGCACATTTTCCTAATAATAGTGGTTGTTAAGTATTCTATTCATAGACCAGGGTAAGCAAAAGCCCAGTAGACAGGATTACTGGTCAGAGTGCACAGTTGGAGTGGAGCAAGGACTTGCACCAGCTCAGTACCAGCTGACGTAAAGCATCATGTAACTTGTGCGAATTCTGTCTCTCATTTGGTGTTGCACATGATGTCTGCATGGTTACATTTCCTTAGCATGTACAATTACTGACTGCAATCCAAATTAGCAATGTGTTTTGATTCCTCTCTTGTCCACTGTTTATTTAGAAGCTTTGTGTGACACACACACACACATCAGAGACCCTTCATCCGCTCACCATGGCGTCCCTGGAGGAAGAGCTGACCTGCTCTGTGTGCCGAGACTTCTTCAGCCAAGCCCACCCCCTGCCCTGCGGACACAGCTTCTGCCCCGCCTGCATCCGCGAGGCCTTTGGCGGCCTGGGCGAGGGCAAAAGTCGCTTTACCTGCCCCCAGTGTCAGGAGGAGCACGGTGAAGTGCCGTGTGACTGCTGCCCTCCCGCTGCAGATGAAGGACATCCACCGCCGGCTGTCAAGACCTGCCTGAGGTGTGAAGTGTCGCTGTGTGCCGCGCACCTCCAACCCCATCTGGAGATGCCGGCGTTTAGCACCCACCTGCTGGTGGACCCGCTCGGGGACCTCTCCCAGCGAAGGTGCCCGACACACACTGAGATACTGCGCTACTACTGCGCCGACGACAGGGTGTATGTGTGTGGTGACTGTCTGCTGGACGGAGGCCATGCTGAGCACAAAGTGAAAGCACTGAGACAGGTGGAGGAGGATCTGAAGGTCAGCAGGAAAACTAGATGTGTGTTTCTTTATGTCTATTTGTGGCACTAGTGTGTGTCTGCTCATATATGTGTGTGATTGCACAGGTCATACTCCAGACCCTGTTCAGCAAAGCAGAGGAGAAGCTGAAAGATGGAGAGCGTATCCTCAAAGAGCATGAGAGCATCGATTCAACCATGGCTGTGAGTAACAATATTTAAACTGCAGGGAAAATGCAACATAATGACTCCCTCAGTAGATGTAGTGTGCACATTGTACTGCTCAAATTATCAAGGAATCCCAAATCCTCAGATTGGTCTCATTCTACTGATTTTCCAATGGATCAGATGTTCTGATTATGTCTCAACCACTGCCACCACCAACCTCTCATGACTGGTTTCAGGACTCCCTAAAGCAGGACAATACCCAGGTAGAGCGGCTGGGCTTGGACCTGCAGGTCCAGGTGATGAGGCTGGTGGTCGCTCTGAGGGATATCACCAGGAGGGAGAGACAGCAGGTCATAGAGCGCATGCACGAAGACTGCTCCAAGGTGAGAGGCGAGATGAGCCAGGCGCTGAGCATCCAGCGCTACCTCGCCTCGCTGCTGGCAGAGACGGACCCCTTCCTGCTCATCTGGGTAAGACACTCTGCTGTACATAGCTGTGCTGGGAATAATATGACACGGGGCTTTCAGTTGTGGAAATGAACCGTTGATACAATTTAGCTTCTGGTGTGCGAAGCAGAATAATTTAACCCCGCTGGATCAGTTTTCTTTTAGCTAACCATATTTAGCCGGCCCAATAGACGGAAAAGTCGGTCTTGTCCATCGGGTCCACCACTTAGGTGGTCCTCATCAGGTCAGGCTTTTAATTTGTCAAATTCTATCTTACCTTATCTGGCAGCAACTAATCGGAGGACAATTTAGAGAAGTTGTTCACATTGCTGTCAACACTATATAGTAGTTCTCTGAGGCATCAAATATGAACAACAAAAACTCTTAAAAGCTGATCTGTTTCATCCTGCCTGGATGGGTGTGGTGTCATTTAAATGAAGATGGCAAAACAACTGACTGTCATCAGATCCTGATTCAAATGCTGCTGAATCACGATAAATGCATGTGTTGCCACCATTTTCCAGCTGAGCCCAAAGCAGTGGGAAGAGAACAGACATTCATTTTTTTATGAGAAATTACCAAAAGTGATGGCAGAAAATGTAGTGTTAAAGTAGGGTTGTAGGGTCATTTAGCTAGTGGCAAGACGCTGATGGAGAAGAAAAGATGTTCAGGGCCTTTTCAACTTTACATTTTTATAGCACAAAGCCAATTCATCTTTTCAAAAAGAGGTGCATAGTTTAGTTTCTAACCCACAGACGACGCCGTCATAAAGCAGCTTGAGGTTATTAGTACTTTAAGAATGCAAGCTATGCCGCAGAGCCATACGCATGTTTACCACAAATATTATTGATAATATTGCATAAGCTCATATATTGTGGGGAAAAACAGAAGTACATATCCAGGGCCACAGATGGAGTTAGTTGTATGTTGAATGACTTGGTGTTTGTTTCCTTTCTTATCCACACACACAGGGAGATTGGAAATTTTTTCAGTCAATGAATCCTTCTATGTCGTGTTTTTCTCAGCTGTCCTTGACTCTTCTTTTCTCAGGCCTTTCAATCAGATGACACAAAGTAAGTGCAGAACAAGTTAGAGTCTCAAGGTGTGTTGAGTCTGTCTGTCTGTGTGTGTGTGTGTGCGCACCGGTAGCCGGTCTTTCTATGTATGTGGGAGGTAGAAAAGACAGTGGGACACAAGGGGAGGACAAATTGAACCAATGAATGCAATTATTTCACTAAGTAAGAAGCCTCTCACCTGTATGTGCTCACTGCTTTAAACCAGGCAGTTTTCCTCCAGCAGCATGTGTCGTGCTCTTGTGTTCATAGGTTACTAGCCGACCTGAACAGCCCGCTCTTTATCCCTGACGCTGTCCGTCTGGACAGGAAACACATCTTGGAGGACATAGAGAGCAAGTATCGAGAGTTCATCACCGGCACCCTCCGCTGCCTCAGTGAACTCAAGAGGGAGCTCTGTGAGTGGCAGATTTGGTGACGCACACCGACCCTGTTCATTTTATTTAAATATCTTTTATTTGATATCTGTTAGAGTATGAAGCTACAGCCAGCAGCCGGTTTTTATATATAAATATATATATTAATTTGACCTTGTTTTATTTCCCTCTCATGCAGTAACCAGTCCCTTGACTCTGGACACTAACACGGCCCATCCTCTGTTGAGCATCTCTGATGACCTTCGCTCGGCGGTTCGGGTAAAAAGACGCTTGCCATGCGCTGCTCACCCCGAACGGTTCGACCACTGGCCGCAGGTCATCGCTGCCCAGACCTTCACCTCTGGGACTCACTACTGGGAGCTGGAGGCTGAAGGTTTCTGGGATATTGGCGTCTGCTATAGAAGTATTGGACGGAAGGGTAAAGAGGGCAACGCCTTTGGGAACAACAAGGTACTATATGCAACCTACAGTAGCTTATTTGACGGCACTTACATTTATTTATGATGTATGTCACATGTTTTTGCATTATTCATTTCATTACAACGAATAATTTGATTGTTTGGTCTATAAGATTTCAGAAAATTGTTTAAAAGAATTCCCAGAGTGCAATTCAGATTGATTGTTGTGTCCCAAACTCAAAGATCAACTGGTTCACTATCCTAGGCAGCAGAGAAAGGCCACAAATCTTTGCATTTGCGAAGCAATATTGAATAATGATCTTAATTGTTGGCAGTAGACTAATCTGTTGTTTCAGCTCTAGCTTCAAGAGGAAAACATGTCCCTTGATTAAAATGCATTCGTTGAATTGCCAGGTATCATGGAGCTTGACACAGCAGCATGACAGGAGGCTGGCTGCCTGGCACAACCGCAGGAAGACCCGCCTCACGTGCCAAATGACCGGCAACCGAGTTGCACTTTCCGTAGACTACGACGCAGGCACCGTCACCTTCTCCGAGGTTGGACCATCTAACAACCTGACCCACCTCCACACTTTCTCCGCCACGTTCACTCAGCCGCTGTGCTTGGGCTTCGGACTCTACAAAGCTGAGCTCAACAGTCACATCTGTATTGTCAAAGTCTGAGGAGGAGAAAAGGGGGAAAGGAGCACAGAGAATAAGGACCCTGACAAGCACTGTGCTGGTTTAACTTATAGACAAAGCCAGGCCAAGACACTCCACTCTCCCCTTCTAGAAACCACGCAGTCTGCAACTTTGAGCCTCTCTGATGTTTCTCTCCCCTCAGATCTCAGCCTGAGCTCAGCTTCTTCCTCAATAAAGTGACAAAACCATACTTCCTAAAACTGTGATCAAGTGATATTGACATGGAGATATGGAGATATCTGAGAATAGAGCATTCACTGAGTGAAAATGAGTCGATCCTAGCGGGACAGCAAATGAAAAGGCTTCTTTGAAAAAGGACAAAAATAGGTTTTGGTAACAATTGCAAGATTGTTGTTGATGTGCTTTTCATTCCACAAAACTGCAGATGATTGGTGATCTAAAGATATAAAGAAGGATGCAAATGTTCGTGTTGGTAACTGGATACTAACTCATCCCATCCTTTGCTTAATTAAGCATCTCTAATGGTCTTCCTCTGTTTGACTGAGAGCTTCATTCTGTCTATGTTTTTAGACATCAGGTGTATGTTCATCAGGCTGGTTTATGTGTTCATATACTCAACAAAAATACGAAAACAACACCTTCATAAAGAAATTGATGCTATATGCTGTTAATCCAGTCTGATATCTGAAGGTACACAAGGAGCATTTGAAACTTTTTAACTCAGCTTGAGACGACAAGAAGGGAAGACTGATTTGATTGGATATTAAAGTCAAAAAAAAAGAAAAACAGCTGCCAGTCACTCGCTATCTTTGCTCTTTGAAGCAGCTCAGATACCCAATTATTCTCCCATTTTCTTTATTTCTCTGTAAAGGTGAGTGGGCGGGTGTAACATAGCGGCGAGAAAGAAGCAGAAGGAAAGGGGGGGGCAGAGAGAGAGAGAGAGAGATAGACGAGGAAAGATAGGGACACAGCGATATGAGCATACTCTGGCTTGGTTACGAACACACTGACTGCCTGACTGCCGTGCTGTGAAATAATGTGATCAGGGATTTTATGACCGTACTGCGGTGCTCCAGCTGGGATATGGAATACGAGATTGTTTAGACGGAAACAGGTGATCATCTATTTTTTCATTCACTTTAAAATATTAGCGTTGCACTGCACGGCGAAAACAGTGTAGTTTATTTTAGAGCACTTGTTTTCAGGTGAACATTTGATTCTTTTGCAATGTGATTCCTTCTCCAACCAAATAGCAGCTGTGTTTGTGTGCGATGAGTAGGTTGTAATAAAGCTAAGAAAAAGATGTTTTCACACATGCTGTTGCTCATCTTGGTCAAAGATAAATGTACTGTTTTTGACTTTATATATATACTGAATGGCATCATCTCGGAAAAATGGCTCCAATCCCCAATTTCACATTTGATTCTTATGAGTTAAACAACAGAAAGGCTGCTGAACTCAGAGAGAAAATAAAAGAAACATACTAAACTGTGACATTGTTTTTATGTATACTATATTTGTGTCCATGAGTGTGAAACAAAAGCACAAGTGAGAGAAAGTGTGTGTGTGTGTATTGTGTGAGGGAATTCGTGTTGATCAGCATTGGGAGGGAGGGGGGTTCGTGTAAAAGACAGATGGTCACTCAGTGGAGTTGTTCCCCCACACCCTCTCTCTTTCTCACTCCCTTCTGGGTCCTACATCTTTTCCCTGTCACCTCTCCAAAATCTTACCTCATCTGTTTGTTTTTTTTCCCTCCCTCGACTCTCATCAGCATCTTTCATCGCCCCATCCTTCCCTCCATCTCCATCAGGGAAAGTCTGAATTCGGATCTTTGCTCACTTCGCTGCCGTTTGTCTTTGCAAACCCTTTCTTCCCTTTCCCAGCTACTTCTCTTCTGCTTTCTTGTCAGTCTTTTTGCTGAAGAAATCAACTTGAAAATACCAAGAGAATTTCTTTTTTTTTTTTTGGTGATTGTTGTCATTCTGGCCCCTGCTGACACAGCACGTAGGACGCTCAAGAGGTTTGGGACTTGTCTGGGGCAAACAAGAAAACTAGAAGAACAGACAGAAAGGGAATGATTGACAGCTATGGCCAATGAAGAGTATTTTTCTGAATATTATTTGGCTCTGAGTCACATCTGCTGGTTGGGTGCATATTAATGTACTTCAGCTGGTACCAGCCAAAACTACGCAGAGGTTTAAGTTGGAAACATTTTCACAAAGACGATTTGTTTCACCGTAGCATGTTTGTTTTCATGTCAAGCTGTGCAAAGTGACGCTTCTCTACAGTAGAATCGATCCCAGATATCCGACCAAACATCCCAGGTTCAGTCATGCACCCGAGGTCAGTCACCTTCGACCTCCCTATACTGTTGGGTGTGCTCCTGTTGTTGGGTCCTATGGAGTCTAGGGGCCAGAATGACACAGAGCCCATCATCCTCGAGGGGAAATGCTTGGTCGTGTGCGACTCCACTCCTTCATCCGAACCCGGCGGTAACGCCCTGGGCATGTCGGTCCGCTCCGGCTCCGGCCGGGTGGCCTTCTCCGCCAGCCGCCAGACCAACCACGAGCCCACGGACATGAGCAACCGCACCATGATCATCTACTTTGATAATGTGAGCATGTGACTGCTTATGTGTCTTTAATTAGCAGTATGCATGGTTTGTAGTTTAAATATAGCCCATGCATGAAATGAGAGGACATATGATGTTGTTGCAGTTGTCTGCCAATAAGATGCACATGCATTTTCATGGACATTTTGGGCTTTTTTAAAATATGTCAATGTAAAAAAATGATTCAGTATATGGGGAGGAGTCTGAGCTCTAACTGCATGGACAAAAAGAATGACTCAAGTGCCTTCCTCCTTTTTTTTCTCCCTCCCTTGCTGTTGCATCAGATTTTGGTGAACGTGGGCACTCATTTTGACCAAGAGAGCAGTGTGTTCCTGGCGCCAAGAAGAGGCGTGTACAGCTTCAACTTCCATGTTGTAAAGGCCTACAATAGACAAACTATTCAGGTCTGATACCCCAACTCTGAAACTTATAGCAATGGAGCGACATGCCCTCTCTTACCCCTTTATTTGCTCCCTCTTACTGCAGGTCAGCTTGATGTTGAACGGCTGGCCCATGATTTCAGCTTTTGCAGGGGACCAGGACGTGACCAGAGAAGCTGCCACCAATGCCGGCCTGGTGATTATGGAGAAGGGGGACAAGGCCTACCTCAGACTGGAGAGAGGCAACCTGATGGGAGGCTGGAAGTACTCCACCTTCTCCGGGTTCCTGGTCTTCCCTCTGTGAGGAAGGTGTCTGAGGTGTCGGAGTGGTGATAGGAGGAGAATTGGATAGAGAAGTAGTGAGAATGAGGCGGAGGTAAACATGAAAGGTGGTGGTAGAAAAGAAGGCCTTCAGTCTGTAACTCTCTATAACATCGCACGGAAGGATGTGTTTTATGCAAAAATGAGATGAAGGTTGTGCAAATGAAGATAATTCTCGCTTGAGACCCAAAAAGAAGAAAGTTCAGTAAACATGACTTACCTGTTGATCTAATTTGCTCTGTTTCTGTGAATAAATATCTGTTGGGTTTATATAAGAGATACTTTAATTGTGACAAAATATTAAGTAGTGCAATGTAGGCTTCTGTGCTAAGATTAGTTTTTTTTTCAAAGTGTTTGAGACATTGCTGTGCTCCACATGACACCCTGGCTAGCTAACAAACGTGCCAAACTTTTCCTTTACTCTGCTGTGTCCTATGACTGATGCTCCTCTATATGCCTGTCTCCTGCAACAAATGTTTATTTACACAGAAATTTCTATGGAGGGTAAAATATTGAAATAAAATGACGTAACGTTGGCTCAGTGTATCGTTTTTTATGCATGCATTGTCAAATATTCCTTCCCACAAACATTTTCAGACAGACAATATTTCATGGGTCATTGCTCGACGAACGCACAGAAATAATTGATTTGATAGTGTAATATGTTAAGGACGTGACAGTTTAATCTGTTCTACGCATAACAGCATTTGTCCCTCCCTCTCATTGTACTCTCGCCAGTGCCACGGCAGCTGTTTGTAAATATAGCTCTCACCAGCAGAGTTAGCGTTGGCGTGGACCAAGCAGACCAGCATGGGGCAGAGTGTAAATGTGGTGAATAGCGGATACACCTCGCAGGGCCGCAGACAGATGGAGGCCTTGGCGACGAGGCAGGCTCTTCTCTACAGGGCTGCCATGGATAAAGTGTAGTGTGCTGTCACATGCAGTCACTTTCACTTCCCTGGTTCATGACCATCTCTCTCTCCGTCTGTCTGTCTGTCTTGTATCAGAAAAACACCTGACCTTATTCCCATGAAGATAATTAGGGCCTCTGGTAATCTTTTCCCATTTTTTTGTAGTATGATAGCTCATAAATATTTAGCTGATGAGAACAGAAATGGTGATATAAAAATGAAGGCCAGAGTAGGCTAACAACTCAGGGGCCCCAGTGCCAGGAGGACATGCAAAAGCTGTAGGTTCCCAGTGCAACAATTGGTTTGTGGTAACATTAGTAAATTGTAAAAAATTGCACAACTAAAATACAATATCATCTTACATGCTAAAGGCCTTCACGTTGGCTTTATTACCTGATCTTGAGGGCCTGTCCTTAAGAGAGAGGGGGGGGGGGGGGGGGGTTCAGGGGCCCCTTTATGCCCAGGTGCACTCTATTAGCAGAATAATTTGGCCATTCTCTACAACAGCCATAACAGCTAATAATCATATTTCAGTCTGGCGGCACTAGAGGGCGCCAAACCCCAGTCACCCAGCCACAGAGAACTGAATTACTAATTGAAGCACACAAATCACATTGGTACCTAGTAGAAAGCTGTTGTTGATACCTCAAAATGTAATAATACTTAATAGAAACCCGTCAATGTGCCCATGGGGTTTCGATGTGTGTCTTTAGGTAATAAAGAAATATCACACGGTAAGGATAATTGCTGAGCTGAAGCCAATGTAATAAAGCCCTGAAAAAAACCTGACATTGTCATTCACAAACGGGCCTCTCGGGTTACACAGTCCATTAACCCTTTCAGATGATTATAACACCGTCTATTTTTCTCCAGTCAGCTCTAAAGGGCCTGTGCTTTCTAACGTGAGCATCTATGGCGGTAAAACGGCAACGTTGGAGATCACTTAGTCAAATGATTCCAGCTAGGCCGCATTTATTGCTTTTTCAACCTAACTATGGCTCTAATCCCGCCCAGAAGCGGCCGTGAATGTGACGGATTGCTCCTCCTACCAATGAAATAGCTGCATGCTGCCGGCTCCGGAGGAAATGGACCAATCACCGTTTGATAGCCTACGAGGGGCACGCATTCTACGCTCTCTCTGGCAAGAATGTTAGTTCCTGCTCTTCCCTGGCCGTTTCCTGTAATCGTACAGTGTTGTGAGACGGAGAAAGCCATGTGTGTCGATGCAAAGGTAAATTTAGCACCCCGAAATTATTACTGTGAGAGTTGGGGCAGTGGATATGATGGTTATTTTCATGTATTTTTGCCGAAAAATAGACGCAGACCAACCGAAACAATATTGCGGCCTAACCCGTGTCTGAACGTTGACGAGCAATGGTTATTGTGGCACGTTGCTTTGGTTTGGTCCGGTTTGTTGATGAGGTTGAAGGAGTCCGGTGGACTGAATGGTTGGTAGTAAATGACAGAGAAGGGAGGAAATGGTTCCAGACGTACAACACATCACGTTTATCGGCCTCAATATGCTTTCGGTGCAACGCACCCTTTTGTAAGAGGCACATCTTAGTCGCGGTACAAGCTAATGCTAGCCGACGGTTTAGTGAGACAGACTGCAATACGACCAGAGAGGAAAGCATCCCACCTCTCCCACATCAGTACCCTCCTCGTCTGACTTCACCACCAACTATTTATATTCTCTGAATGTTCCCAAAGTAGCGTAGCTTTGTATTGAACTGCTGAAGCTAGCTGTGCTTGTTTTTAAAGCTCAAATATTACGTTTTATGGACATGGTGGCAATGAGTTGTGTGTTGTTTTCAAAAACATTTTTTTTTTTTTTTTACAATCTGTTGGCAATCTTTAGTTTACTGGGCGTTATATGTCATTTAAAAAAACATGTTTTATTTCATAATTGTTATGAGTTAGTGGTGTGAGGCACTTGACTCACTGTAGAGTAAACTTAATAATTTCAGTCACAGCTCTTATAATAAATAAATAAATACATTTAAGTGTGTGTGTTCATGTGAAAGTTGTCTGTGATTTAGTAAACAATGCATTCATTCTGTGCTTTAGGAACCACACTTGAGTGTGTGGTGTTGATGGGCATCAAATAAACTAAATTGGAGCTTAAAAAGGAGACCAGGGCCAAAACTTCCAGGACTGCCTTTTGCCATGTAGGGCCACATTTGTTACTGTGTCATCTTTTGTACAATCAAACACACATGTCCTAACCACTGATGAGACCCACCGCATTTCATTTGTTGTGTACAGATTTGAGCTACATAATCATCAGTGTAGCATTTGTTTGTATAATGCTAACATATTTTTTTGTGCTTTATTGACACGTCTCTCCTCTTTTACCAGCTGTTTACTTTGAAAGTTGAGAAGAACTGGCCCGCAACAATTTAGCTTCAATCTCGGAGTCTTTTTAACTCTGTGCCCGTCTCCCTGTGTGGAGTGGGCAAGATGGCAGACCCCATCATGGACCTCTTTGAGGACACACCCCTGTTTAACCTGGATGCCCTACCGGACGACTCCTTCTCTCATGGCTCCTCGGACCCCGTGGAGGAGGCCCTTAAAATGGCGTTGGGCCAAGTGGACCCACCGACCGAGACTGAGCTCACGCTCGGTGTTTCTGTAGCAGCTCCCACCATCCCGGAGCCTGCCCACGTTCAACTCCCCGCACTGCAGCCGATGCCAGTGGTGACTGCTCAGACTGTTTCCATAGCTGCGGCTCCTGCTGTAGCCCCAGTCCCTGCACCTGCACCAGTTGATACTTTACCTCAGATCCAGGTCCAGGCCACCATACCCACCACTAGCACTGTGCTGCTGAGCACACCTATGACAGTTTCCAGCTCCCCAATCACCACCACTGCCACCACGCAGCAGCTCACACAGATAACTCATCAGCTCACTGCACAGCAGTTAGCTGCCATCACGCAACAGGCCGGTGGCAAAATTGTCATACTCAAAGGTCCCCAGGGTCAAGCCCAGGTGCTGCAGACTATGTCAGGAGCCACAGGCCAGACGGGTGGGAAGGTCATCCGTGTGTTGTCTGGCACTCCTCTTAAGGCCGGCATGTCCATACTGCAGGGGGGGACGGTCTTGAATCAGGCCGGCCCAGGACAAGCTCAAATCAAGGTGGGTGCTGCTGGGGTGCAGAGGCTGCTGCAGTCTCCCAACGGGCCAGTGAAACAGATGCTGCTGACCTCTATGCCCCAGCAGACACAAGGCCAGACCATTCAGCTGCAGATTCCTGCCCAAGGCCAAGTCCAGACCCAAGGCCAGGTGCAGCTCCAGCCAGCCATGCAGGTCCAAACGCAGGTAAGCACTACTTCTTCTGCTACAGCAGGCAGACCACAAGGTGACGCTTGAATCCACCAATGGTCCAAGCTGTATTTTTAGGTCAGTCCCCCCCCCCCCCCGAGTGTCATAATGAGTCTCATTCTGCGTTTCTGATGGTAGGGTGGGGAACCAAAGCGGATCACACTGGTTCTCCAGCAGCCTTCCCAGGCTGGCACTGCTGCGTCAGCGGGTCAAGGCCAGCAACAGTTGACACAAATCCAGCAGGTTCAGACAACCCAAGGGGGCCAGCAGCAGGTCCCAACTAGACTGGTGCTGGGGCAGCTCCCGGGAGGCAAACTGGTTATCCAGGGAAGCCAGCTAGCAGCCCTGACCCAGGCTCGGGCAGGCCAGGCTGGGGGGCAGCCCAAAGTCCTCACAATTCAGCTGCAGGTGCAGCAGCAGCCCAACCAACAAGGAGGAATTAAGGTGAGAAATAAAGTGTTATAGAGTTTGGAGATACCAGTTTGTTTAATCAGATTAGTGGTTTCCCTCCTGTACATGCATTTTGTTTTTCTTCTTCTCTTGTTTGTGGCAAATCACTCAGCGATCTGATGTTCTCTCTTGTGATAGTGTGGAGGGCTGTCTCCATGCAAGCTGCTAGTTTTCTATTGATGCCTTTGGAAGGGTGTGTGGGAGGTCTTGAATTTTACTGATAATAATAGAAGCAATTGTAATTCCCAATACACTCAATATTGACATTTGTCTACTTGCAGTCACATTTTCAACCATTCCCCAGTAGTCAATTCTTTCAAATGGTGCATCTGACCCCCGGTGACATGCTGCTGCCTGGCAAAATGCCACCAACAACAAATGTGGCTCTGCGTGACCGATGTTTTAGTTTGTGTTACACTAGAGTTGTTGTTTCTGCTTGTTTTAGACGGCCACACTTAATATTGCATGTGCTGTTACATTACACCACAAAGGATCAATGGCTACCTTTGTGTGGCCGGGACGGATCAGTCCAAATGATGAATATTCCCACATTGGCTCCGCTAACTAGTATCCATTAGCAGTTTAATGTTAAAGCTTGCTCCTGTTATTTGCCATGTAAGGACATTCATTGTTTTGAATGTGTCGCTACACTGTAGCCAGTGAATATCTGATGCAGTGGAGTGGCCAAGTGCAAGAAAATGAATGGAGATAAAGAAAAGAAGGAATTATAGCAGATTTCTTTGTTGCATAAGACTGAATGGTTTAAGGTTAAAAACCAGCAATGTGGCTCTTTGTATCAAGCAGTACGTCAAATTGATTGTTGGCTCTCAAAATGTACATCCCCTCCAAATAAT